ACACGTCTATCAAATCACAACATTTGGCTTCTGTCAACACTCAGTGCTTCTTTAGTACCCTGTAGTACTGGCATTCAGCCAGTTGTCACCTATTTTGTATTTGTGTTTCTAATTATTCTTCCCAAGTGTAGCACCTTACATTTGCTCACAATGAACTTCATCCTATGAGCTCCAGCCCAGTCTTCCAAACTGTTAAGATCCTTCTGAATTGTGTCCCCATCCTTCAGTATATTCACAATCTCTTGCAGTTTAGTACTGTCTGCAAATTTGTTTGACAAGCTCTCTATTCCAGCATCCAAAAAATTAATAAGCATGTTGAACAGCACTGGGCCCAGGACAGAAGCCTGCTGGACTCCACATGAAACCTCCTGCCATTCCAACATGGCTCCATATATAATTACTCTTTGTTTGTAGCCATTGAGACAGTTATCTATACACCTTATGATAGTTTTGTCTAGCCCACATTTCTCTGACTTGTTTATGAGATGGTCACGTGGAATTTGTCAAAAGCCTTAATGAAATCAAGATACATTACATTTACTGCATTTCCTTCATCCACCCAAGTAGTTACTCTGTCAAAGAAGGAGATAAAATTTGTTTGGCAAAATTTGTTCATAGTAAATCCATGCTGGGTGCTCCTGATCATCCCTTCCTTCTCCAAGTGCTTGCAAATGGGCTTCCTTATGATATGCTCCAGTAATTTCACACGTATTGAGGTGAGGCTAACTAGTCTTTTTTACTTTTTTTTTTTAAAAAGGAGCATTACCACTGGCCCTTTTCTTGTCCTCTGGTATCTTGCCCATCTCTTTTGACTTCATGGATATCATTGCCAAGGGCTCCAAGATCTCCTCTGCCAGTTCCTTCAGTACTCTGGGATGAAGTTCATAAGGCCCAGCTGACTTGAATTCATTCAGATCCATCAAAAGCTCTCTGTTACTTTTGTTTTCTCAACCTTCAGCTCGTCTCCTTCCTTATCCAGTTTGCAACACATGCCAGCTTTAGAAGCCATATACTTGACATTCACTGCTTTTTAACAAGCTAGTTATTTCGGCATTTTGTAGCATTAAATACCACAGACTATCAAGGAAAATATTAACTGTGAACAAAACTCTATGGTTATAAAGGCTATCGTTAACCAAACCTTTATTAGGTCAAGTGAATTTTCAGACCTGTTTAAAGGAAATAGGTTGATAAATACTTACCTCTACGGAGGGCTGTGGACTATACTCATGTTCAACCATGAATAAGTTGTTATTATTCCTAGACTCTGCCTAGCATGATCATCTACTGTGCATTTACTCTTTTAATTTATTGCTTGGTTGCTTGTCTCATCTTTATCTAGTAGCTATACATACTTTACACAAAATGAGAATCCTAGTACTTCCAGCAAAATATTATTGTTTTCACTATGTAGCAGCTTATTATTAGAATAAACTATACTGGAGGCACAAAAAAGTTAAAGCAAATACTTTACAACTGCCCCTTCAGAAACTCTTTTACTGAGCCAGAAAAGGATTTTATAGGAGCTGCAAAATTCCAGTCATTATTTTGGATTTATTTAGTTTAAAAAGTGAATTCCCCTAGCTGTTATTAAAACCTAATATAAGCTCTTTTCCAAGCAAGTCTAGTGTACTTTACAGATGCACTCTCTGCTAACTGCAAAATTAAAGACTTTATGACCCTACTTTAATGTCACACAAACAAACAGAAAGCAAGTTTATACCAAGTTCAGATTTACTGTACTCACCATCTGGGTCAGATATCATGTCCAAAAGAGATTTATCCAGAGTGGACTTGCTCATTATTTTTTCCTCGTATTCAAAATACACATCTAGCTTACGTGCCTGGTTCAAGAATAAATGTTAAAATAAAATGTTAATATTGTGATAACATGCTTCTATTTTAATAGATATATAGTGACTTAATGTACTTTTAATAAATTAATATAATTTTGTTATTTACTGAAGAGAAAATACAACCGTGATTAAGCATGATGCATCCAAAAGTTTTCATTATGATAAGCTTCTCTTCATAATAGTAGTAAACTGATTATATGATATGACTGGAATAACAAACTTGGTGGGATAGCTCACATGACTACAGCAGTCATGGATGGGTATAAACTGTTCAGGAAGGACAGGCAGGACAGAAGAGGAGGAGGAGCTGCTCTTTATGTAAAAAAGCTGTATGACTGCTCAGAGCTCCATGAAACTGGAGATAGGTCTGTTGCAAGTCTCTGGGTTAGGATATGAGGGGAGAACAACAAGGGTGATGCTGTGGTAGGTGTCTGCTAGACCACCAGGCCAGAAGAATGAGGTGGGTGAAGCTGCAAAAAAGGACCTGGGGCTTACACTGGACAATAAGCTGAGTATGAGCCAACAGGGTGCCCTTGTTGAGAAGGCTAATGGCATACTGGACTGAATTGGTAGGAGTGTTGCCAGCAGATTGAAGGAAGTGATTATTATTCCCCTCTATTTAGCACTGGTGAGGCCACATCTGGAGTACTGTGTCGTTTTGGAACCCCACAACAGAAAAGATGTAGACCAATTGGAAAGAGCCCAGTAGGGGGCAACAAAAATGGTGAGGGGCCTGGGTCACATGACTTCTGAGGAGAGGCTGAGGGAACTGGGCTTATTTAATCTAGAAAAAAGAAGACTGAGGAGGGATGTAATAGCAGCTTTGAGCCTGCTGGAGCTGAACTGTTCTCAGTGGTGGCAGATGACAGAACAAGGAGCAATGGTCTCAAGTTGCACCAAGGGAAGTTTAGGTTAGATATTAGGAAGAACTTGTTCACTGAGGGTAATAGAGCAGTGGAACAGGCTACCCAGAGAGGCTGAGGAATCTTCATCCTTGGAGATGTTTAAGACCTGGCTAGACAAAGCTTTGGCTGGGATGATATAGTTGTGGGTGGTCCTGCTTTGAGCAGGGGGTAGGACTAGATGACCTCCCTTCCAGCCCTACTTTTCTTTGATTTTATTAAATGTTATGTTTGTCCAAGCCCTTAGTCAAAATGCTAATTTTTCCCAGTCAAAATTGTGAAGGTCTTGGGAACTGGTTCATTTATACATAATTGGTAAATATTTAACAACAAGTTTAACTTCACTTGATTCTATAACTGTGTCACGGCGGGGTCCGCCAGGAGGGCCGTGATCTCCTTATGGCCCCCCCACCGTGCCAAGTTGGCCCAAGGGCACCCTCAAATTCTCTCCCGCCACGTCTTTGATGGTTAGATAAAGTTGGGAGGCTGCCTTATGACTCCCTGGGCACGGTTAGCTGGGACCTCTGTCCCCGTGTGTTCCCGGAACCCCCCCGGGGTCTCCCGGTATGATGGGTGCTCCCCATGCACCCTAGCCTTATGGGCTATGTGTGGCTCCTACCAACCCCTAATACCACGCCCCAAGCCTCGCTGATGGGATAGACGCTGGTATGTCTCTCTATATATATACTGCCCGTCTCTCGGGCCTCCTCTACGTACTCTCGCCCGCTCTCTGGGGCCTCCCCTGCTGTACTGCCCTCTCTTGGGCTCTCCGAGCCCACTCGGGGCCTCCCTGTAATGTTGCCCCTTTCTGGGGCCTTCTCTATAGTGTCACCCCCTGTCTGGGGCCTTTACAATAGTGCCCCCTCCTGGGGCTTTTCCTACAATGTCGCCCGAACTCGGGCTTCTAAAATACAGCCCCACGTCTGGGGCTCTCTATGCCCACTCTGGGGACTTCTCGGTAACGCCGCCTGATTCTCGGGCCCACCGCGCTGCTGCCCCCTTCTCCCAGGGCTCACCGTGCCACT